AAAAAAAAAAAAAAAAAAAAAAAAAAAAAAAAGAATACTACTGAGAAGAACATTTTTACTAAACTTTTATTGCTCATTAAATTTATTCAAGTGAATCAAATTAAAGAGGTGAACATTCTTTACTGAACTTTCACTGAATCATTTGAACTGAGTAAATCATTTTTATTTTTGGTCGTTTCGGTAAATCATTTGAGCACAGAAAAAAAAACACTAAATTCCCTTCAATTTAATGATCTCAGGATGAGTACTGATTGATATGCTAAAATATCATTTTATCATAACGATAAAATATCATTGTCAAGAGTTTAATTTAAAAAATCTTTATACCCAAATGTATAGAAAATAGATGAACAAGTTTTGTTGACTTCAATTATTACAGTTTCTGTAAAATGCTGATAACGATTAACTGTTGATAGTTTATTGGTTTTGTAAGGCCAACACACAATGACGTTTATTTTGATACTGGTGAAAAAAAATACTGAAGTTTTTTCTTATTTCAGTACCTCAGGTGTTTCGTTGACTGGCTTTTGACTTTGACCGTCTTCCAGTACTCTGTTGAATAGGCTTTTTGAAACAACTAAACAGGGCTACTGTTTATTAAGCTGTTGTTACGAATCTGTAGTTCTAAGGCTGGTAAATCGGTGATAATCAAACACACTCGCTTAAGCCATAAAGTTCTGTGAGCAAATTACAGCATATTTTGTCTTGAAGCAAATTTCGTTGAGGTTAGAAGCAGAAATAAACAAAGCTAAGCATCAAAATAAGGAGAAAAAACAGAAGCTTCTGTAACGAACAATAATCATTCAATTTTAATTACAACATTGGCAACAGCAAAAAACAAAAAAAAAAAAATGAATGAAAAGGGGATAAAAGAATTGTGCATAAACTCATTAGCGAATCTGGATTTTTGGAATTTGACGACCTAAAAGGCAAGAAGGTTTTTGGTGATGGCCGATTGCGTAACACAGAAAATATGGCCGGCGTAAAAACTGCAACGGCAGAAGACAGACGAACATAGAAAAATTAATTTTTTATTCCTAACTTCACCTTCACATGAAATTAGTAATAAGAATTTTCTTCTTCAAAAAATATCACTTTTTTTTCTTGCTTGATTTCTTTATTTGACAATCGCTTTTATTGGTTTTATCAATTGGCAGTTTTTATTTGCCATCACTAATATCAGCAGATAGGTGGCTAACAGATATACTTAATT